ATAACCTAAAATAGCTTCTCATTGAAATTTATTATTTATGTCTGGGTTGTTGCTTACTTGCTTATTCTATTCTCTATTAACACCGACTTCAAAATAGGTGTGTAGTTACTAGTTAGGCCGAAGCAGCAAACAAGTTTTGGGTAATGTGTGATTACTATGTAGGTCGTAAAAGAAGAGAGTTCATATAAAACTTCCATTCAAATTGTTCATTAAAGCCATAATGATGAGTTAGAATGTACAACCCTACTTAGAGCAAGATCAGATCGTTGTTTAATTTGACCAATCAGAGATATAAGACATGCATGCTTTTACAAAAGTAGGTTGTTTTGGATCCATAACTTCAATAGTAGTGAAGTTTGAGGGTACAATATTTATCATGTTCATCATCTATCATTGTTGTCTTAAACCAGGTCCTAAACATAAAAGAAAAAAAATAAAGTAAGATTCATCTTGTTCTATTGAAACTTGAAAGTAGTCTGCCGTGATGATGAACATGATAGCAGTAATTATAAATATATATGTTTAGTTTATTGACTTCTAATATCAATCAGGATTTACATACTCTAATGTTTTTTAAAAGACTGCAGTGTCAAATTAGAATTGATCTTGTTTAGTCTCTACCGAAAAATGAAAAAGCAACCTAGGGCCTTCAGCCCTTCATGCATGGTCATCCGATCCTGTACGTGGGTTGCCCCTGGAGGCGCGTCTCACATACACAATAACACAATTTAATCTCCATAATAGATTTTGCTATGTACGTAGGTCATTGTGGGAAATGTGCCAACATCCCAAGAGCATTCCATGATGAAGTTTATTATGTCAGGAGGCAGTACTGATGACATCTGGATATTGTTGGACATCTGGTCGAGCAGAATTGTTTTGGTCTCAGATACGTTCTGGTCGCATGTGATTAAATTACTTCACTAAATGGATTGAAGCAGTATCTCTCTCCAACATCAAGCAAGATGATGTCCAAAAGTTCATATGGGAAAATATCATCACAAGATTCGGCCTTCCAAAAATATTAGTAACCGACAATGGAACACAATTCGTCGGTAAAACAATCAAGAAATTCTACGACCTATGGAAAATCGAGCACTCCAGGTCAGCTCCTCGTTATCCACAAAGCAATGGTCAAGCCGAAGCTGCGAATAGGCAAATCTTAGAAATATTGAAAAAAAAAAACTAGAGGCTCATGCTGAGAATTGGCCAAATGAGTTAGAGAGTGTTCTATGGGCTTATCGAACTACTCCTAGATCGTCCACATGCATGTCTCCTTTTTCCCTATGTTTTGGAGTTGAAGCAGTTATACCAACCGAGCTGACCTATGGTACTAGCAAATCACTCCTGGTTGATACCAAACTCAACAACCAGATATGGTCATATGGAGTCGACCTGTATGAAGAAAGGCGATACCATGCAGTGAAGAAGCTTGAACAATATCAACAAAGGTTAAAACGAGCTTACAACAAGGGAATTCGACCTAGAATATTTCAGCCCGGTGAAATGGTCATGAGAAGAATGTTTCCGAACAAAAAGGTTGAGAAGATTGGAAAGTTCAATGCGAACTGGGAAGGTCCTTACATCATCAAGCATGTCCTAGGAAATGGAGCATACAAACTTCAAACTCAAGAAGGAGATGATGATGTAAAGAATCCATGGAATTCATTCCATTTGAAAAAATTCAATCAATAGAAACATTTTTTTTTTTGAGCTCAAATTTGTTTTGCATTTATATCTATCCCACAAATGCATTGCCTGGAATCATTCAGGTCGAATCCTTACTTCGACCTATGCTTACCATCACTCACACATGGTATTAGCATAATTTGTTAAGTTATAACTCTGCCTCATAACTTAATTTGGTTTTAAGTCCACTAAACAGAACGACTTAAAACGAGCTCAAAATTGCCTTGCATATTTTCCTATCTCACTATGCATGGCCTGGTAATAATTAGATCGACTACAGCTTGATTTTATATGCAAGTATGGAATTTCTCTAAGTTATTCATTCATTTCGACCTACTCATTACAGCTCGAAATCTCTATACTTAGAAAAATTTCATAAGATCAAAAGCTCGAATCATAAAAGATTAGTCTTACTTTTATTGATTGAAGAGAAGTTTACATGTATAAATTTTTAAAATTACATTTCATACTTAGAAAATTTTACATTTGGGGGATCGACCTGACTTGAGCACCCCTAGCTACTACCTACTCGATCTATACTCTATCAGATCTCCACTTGGGGGCTTCCGCACTCCAGCAACTCGATCAGATCCGACCTACAAAACATTCAAAAGCAGAATACAACACAACAGGTATTCTATTCTACACATTCAACATTCAAAACAGGGCATACTATCAAAGTAGATTTGAAAGTTTCAGATCGCCCACTTGCGGCTGTCCATCTCGTCAAAATAAATTCAGCCTTTTGGACGATCCACCAGGCTAACCTGGAAACTTGACCGACCAGAAACTGTTACAACTTTTTAACCAAGTTTAAATAAGTTAGTTACAGAAAATAAAGAGATCGCAACTGATCTCCCGAAGAAGATCGATCACTAGTGTTTAGCTCCTACGAACTTGAAACCAGGTCGCCAACGACCTATACATGCCGAAGACTATTGTTTTTATGCACAACAGCCACACCATCAACAACTTAAAACAAAGTTTTTGATGAAAGAAGTCTCACATCACTCAAATCAAAGAAGAAATTATTCGGCCTGGTCAACATCCTTGCCCAGCTCTGTCACGGGGCCCACAGAAGTGTCTTGTGGGGTATTCTGTTCATCCACCACAAGCGTCTCCTCTTCAACGGGCGATCCCAACTCTGCGAGCTGAGCTTTCAGGGAATCTGAATAGACTTCCCAGGCCGAATGGTTGCTCATTAATCTTGTTCTTTCCTATTCGTATTGTTCCCTCCAGAATGCAGCATCTGCTTCCTTTGTTGCGACCTCCTTTTCTTTCTCCTTCATCCTCAGCTCGGCAAATTCAGCTCGATTCCTCAGTATTTGCATCTGTTCCTTTAGTTGTTTTGCATCTAAGTCCGCAGCAGCACCAGCTTCCGCTACGAGCCTTAGACCTTGAAACTTGGCGTTTAGCTGTTCAAATCAAAAGCAAACCCATTAGTCTTAGCTACATCAGTCAAAACTTGAGTATTCAAATTCTACTTACCATTGAGATGCAAGAGTTGATATGCGAACGAACTTCCGACAAATCATTTAGTAATCGGGTGAAGAAGGTAATAAATAATCCGCATGCTGATCGGATATCTTCAGTATCTAATTTGATATATTTCCATATTGGTGTTGTCAAAGCTGATAGATCGAATCGAACAGATCGAATGAGGTATATCAGATCGGATCGGTTGTGCTTCTTCAGGTCGATTATAATGCCACGTGTTGCTTTTTGATTGGTTGATGAATGTAGTACCACTACAACATCCATTACCATTTTACCCAAAAGGAAATTGTAAAAAGATGTGCATCATCTCCAACAGTGTATGCAAATTAAAATTTGCATCATCATCATCCATTTTTGCACCCAATAAAAAAAAGG